GCCTATCTTGCGAAGGTGGACGTATGCTCGCCACACCCCAATCCAGGGCTTGCCTTCTAGATTCTAGAAGGTGAGCAATTTCGGTGCACCACGCCCGGCAGACCGCCGCAAGCCGAATGGCTAGCAGAAGATTCGGGTTCACAATCCCGAGCTGAGCGTGTACTCCATTGTGATCAAGCTTGATAGTGTTGCCAATGACGGAGTACTGCGAGAAGAGGCTTGCTCTTGCCCAGCGGAGAAGAAACTCTTGTAACCGCGATCGAGCCTCCCGAGCTTCGTCATACAGCAGATCGAGGTCATTCCAGTAGAGGTTGGGGTTGGCGGAGGCGTCGTAGAAATCAAGGATGAGTACCCCCGGTAGAAGATGTATGAGAGCATGGCGCAGGGAGAACCCGTCTATGAAAGTTAGCATTGCTCTGAAGGCCAACTGTCATAATAACAGATGTAGCTGAGACAGACAGTCCACTGTCAAATGGCTTTTTCCTCAGTCACACTCCCTGCTGTCCTTCTACGCGACCGTGGGCTGTGCCCTTTTGTCAGAGTTAGGGCGCTGTGCGCTTCTGGTAGCTACCCTGTAGGCTGCAAATGCTGATCAGTCCTGGTGCGCATCCTCAGTCTGCAGGGCGTCGTAGATGTCAAAAAGGTGCGCATGCCAGGCATTGAAGTCCGAAGGGCGATAGACGGCCGCAGGAGTGGTGCGAACCAGGGGAGAGGAAAGGATCTCCACCGGCAAGCGGAAGGCCATGGAGAAGGGGAGAATGAAGGTGTCCTTTCCCTCGCGAACAGACACAGAGCCAGACTTCCGCAGACGCGACATGGCCACCAGAAGTTCAACCGTATTGATGCGGGCTTGTCCAGATATGATGCTGGTCATTAGGTCATGCCAGGTGCGGTTGACAGTGGGGAGTCGTCGGACCTGAATGAGGCGCGGCTGCAGCACTTCGTAGACAAAATGCATTTCCTGCATATCGGGATCTGTCGAGGGAGGAAGAGTAGTAATAGACAGGGTTGGCCAGTGCTCGAAGCACTCCTGGAGCGTTTTCTGTAGCTCCGCATGGGCCGCTGCCATACTGTCCCTGGCGGTGATGCCCAGTGTCAGGGATCTTGATTGGACGCTCGGTTCCGCTAGGGCCTCCCTGTCCAGGTCTGTCAGTGGCAGTGGCAAGTAAAAGTCGAGGCTGAGGAACATCGGCGTCATTAGGTAGAGCCAAACAGGGTTTGAAGGCCGAGGTGGACTGAGGCCTGGGGATTCAAGGCCACGGGGAAAAGGTATAGGTAGCTTAGGTGATAAGATGCCTAGTGTACGGACCTTTCAGCCTCCTTGGACGAGCTTTGGAGCGTCTCAGGATAGCAAGGCGCCTTTCCTCCCACCTTCAGGCTGAGGTGATAACATCCTTGCTGCTACCCGTGCAATGCAAAGCCTTACTCTTCAAGAAATTCCGGCACCCGAGCCGTTTGGTGATATTGTTGGAGGTTTAGGCCCCAGGGATGTACCCGCCGTTAGGACGACATTCAACAGCCTGACACACGGGGTGGTTGCGAAGGTAGGGAGATTACGTTTATGATGAATGGCTAGGAAAGGAACCTTCAATTCTCAGGGAGAGGTTGTGATCAACTCGGAATCCCCTAAATTCTATGCCATTTAGGATAAGGGTGACAGAGTAGGTGAGGAAGACGTGGCCACGCAAGCAGCGCCAGTGCCTGCAATCCCGAGCGAGTCTGTTAGGGCATCACGGCGTTCGGAAAGGAATAGTAATCCCTTTAGTCCTCATGCGGCCTCTCCTTTTAGGGCAACTGCAGATGGGTCGCGAGAAGTTCCACCGCCACCACCGCCTCCTGTTGTAGATGCGGTTGTGGGAGGGTGTCTAGGAATCCCAGTAGATCCCAGGGGGTCATAGGTATGGATATCCCCCCGGTGCCTGCTCCTCCTAGGAGTGTGACAACATCTGCCAGACAAGTTAATGCATCGCCAGCTACTCCAGGTGGCACTAGGTTGCCGGCAGGGCCGCCGCCCGAATCGCCAGTGGCAGCGCCGGAAACTGGAGGTATGCCAGATAGGAGGGTTGGAGATTTAGAGGGTTTGCTTCGCGAAGGCTCAGGTACTAAGGACTTTGTGCCAGGCGAAAGAACCTTTTGGGAGTTACCAATCCTGGCAGCTCCTGGTAGTGAGGCTAGTCCTGCGCTTAGGTGCAATGATTGGGTGTATAGGATCACTCCTTTGATGAGCGACTTGGCCCCGAGAGCCAATGCCTGGTTGGGACTAGTGATGCAAGAAGCCCAGCAAGCATATCAGAAGTGGACACCCAGACCACCGTTTGGATCTATTTATTAGATCCAGGTCGAAGTCGTGAAAATAGATCCAGAAGCAGCTTCTGGATCCAAATTATAGAACCTCTGGTACTTACAGCACGTCGCGAGCGAGTCGCTTTTGAGCCAGTTGAGCCAAAAGTTGCGCTGGCGGGTTTTCAGAGGTGTAGGGCCTCCCACTTCTCATTCGATTCACGATTGAAGCAATTGAACGTTTGAGCCAAACAAAAAGGGTTTGAGCCGAAGCAAGTGTAAGGTCTTTAGGGTCTTAGGTGTTGTAAGGTGTTGGCAGTGTAGGGTCTCGTTGTAAGGTGTGGGGTCCTTAGGGTCTTTAGGGTTTTAGGGCTCTTACGTTGCTACGTGTGTGTGTGTGTCGACTGTGTGAGGAATTCATTGAGCTCTTTTCGAGCATTCCTTTTCTTTTCGACTTAAACGGCTTTGCTACGGACTACTATAGGTTGAGATCGAATTGCCACGCTCCATCTCTTTTCATCCTCGAGCGCACGAGGCTTCAAAGCACTTGCAGCACTGCGGCCAAGCGAGACCGCGAATCATTGATCTCGCGAATAATCTCGGGCTCCTGTCAGGGATGCGGGTTTAATATCTTGAAAGTATGTGGGTTTGTATCTGTTTTCGCTGGTTGTTGGCTTTTGAAAGCTGAATACGGGCCTCTTCCAGATTTCTCACTCGCGCTCGCAACTTCTTCGCTTTGAAGCCGATCGAATCCCAAAGAGCTTTGTAATCTAACACCACAGCTCTCGGAACCGACATATCCCAGGCATCCAACACTGCTTGGCAGAAGCATCGGGTGTAGGCAGCGCTTTCGGCAAGAATTTTTTGCCAGTGACATCCATCCGGAGAGTTGTCGGATTCCATTTCCGTGTGAAGAAAACTTGTTTTCTCAAGGAAGCCCGGCGAAACTTCCAAAACTGTTTGGCTGTAGCAAAAGGCAGCGGGCGGATTTTCAGGAGGCTTTGCAACCAAGGGCATGCACGATTCGCAGCAGTTGCTTCTTTCCGAAGTTTTGCTTCTCTTTGTTTGGACCAAATCCTCCTCAACGAACGAAAGTGGTGGCCGGGGAGGTTGCTGTGAAGATCGGTTGGTTTGGGCATTGCATGTCCAAACCGTCGCATCCATGTACAAATCCGCGAGGCACGAACTTCTTCAAGAAAAGTCGCCATCTCCGGAAGTTTCCAGAGAAAGGAATTTCGAGGCTGCTCCAACCTTAGAACAACTTGCGCTGCAAAGCATGTCGTAAATGTCAGTCTAAGATTGACCCGAGTGGCACAAAGAAAACATTGCGGCTATGAGCCACGGTGAGGAGGATCACCAGGTTGATCGCGATCTGGTTAGCTTGTCGAACCAACCGTACATACTGGTCCCCGTAAACATTCGTGTCGGAACGGCAGTGCACACTCTGCGATACAAATATGAAGAGCGAGCAGGGAGGCCCGGCCATTATGCAGCCACCAACCACCTAAGTTTGGTGTTCCCAAGGCAAGCAATCCCGATCCCCACCTTTAAACTCACCACGAAAACCAACAAAGAGGAAGCCCGAAACCTGAACAGCCCTTTCAAGAGTCCTTAAATCAACCCCTAAACACTCTCGTTGCAAATAAGTTTCGAGGGAACACACCAAGGAAAGAATTGCAAAGAACCCAGCCTTTGTCAAGACATTCTGCATAATCGGATCAGCTACTACGTCTATGCCGACACACCGTTTCCCAGCATCTCTGGATGTGTTTCCGAAGCTTCCCTGACCTGCAAAGAGGTCCAAGCAATCGAGATCTCGGCTTCTGTAGCGGTCAAAGAATTTCACTTTTGAGTCGATTTCTTGAAGGTTGCAGCTGGCATCGAAGCAGCCGTCAGAAGCTTCAACCATGCGAACAGCCATGAATGCCCTAGGCCCTATAGCTTCGGAGCCCTGGTTCAAAACTTCATATGTAGATACAGTCTCGACTTGAGCATGAAAGCTGTGTACATACGACAGGATTCTGCTGCACAGCAACTCTGCACGCTATCCCAGCAGCATGAGCACCGACAAAACGAACAGCACGAAGAGTGCAATCAATATGTTTTTGCGGTCAATCGGACACATAAGCCTCGAAAGCTTTCTTGTGAAACATGGAAGCCTTCCAATGGATGACGTTAGCCCACGTTCTTCGGTGGGCGGACCTGGCTATCTTCGCGAAGATCCCGTTTAGACTCTCGTCGCGGTATGTCGAGTAAGCCCTGGGATTTCCCTTGTAAAGGGCTCGCTGTATCATGTGAAACAGAAGGTGAAATTTAGGTTTCAGAACACCCCCGGCCCGTCCATAAAATAACAGAAACCGAATGTAGCAGTTCAGAAGCTTCTGAACTGATCCCAAATCAATTTTCCGACATGACAGTCCCAGCACCTCATCCATTTGCAGTGCGTTTTTGGCTGCGGCCAACAACAGTTCTGCTGTGCGGCTCGTGTCGTTGTCTAGGGTTCGGAACTCATCTAGGTGGCGATCCAAGAACCAATGAATAAATCGCAAGAGTCCGTGGCTTTCAGCAGCCTTGCAGCTGAGGTTGTAGGTCTCTTGGTTGCCCAACATCCCCAAGGTGAGATTCCAAACCTGCAGCGGGGTTGTGGGCTTGCGGGATTGAGGGCTTACTTTCGCGGGGTTGAGGGCTTACTTTCAACTAAAACCCAGGCCCTTAAGACTCTAATAATTAGGTCGCCCAACATAATATCCCATCCCAGCCTCAGTACCTTTGCGTTTCCACTCCGGGTCCGACTCCCGAAGCTGCTGGTAAAACAAGAAAAGCTCCGACTTAATCACGAGTAAACTCATCTGCTGTCGATCCGAAGCATTAAGATGAATTGTCTTGGGAGCGAATAGTCCTGACCCGATACAGAAGTGGAGTGTCAAACTGACAAGTTGTTGTAGAGGACCTAAATGCCAGGAGTGCATGATGTCTATGGCCCAACTTTCCCACGTCAGCCCAGGGATGTCGAAGAGTGGACAACCGTGTGTCAAACGACCATCTTCCGGACCAACCCAAAACGTGCAATCGAACGGAAGCGGGGTAAACTCGAACTGTCCAACATCAGGCAGACCTGGGCACGGCTCCAGCCGCCAACCTTTGCGGAGGCCAAGTTGCGGCAAGTCGCAAACCAGGGCTCTGCCAAGGGTTGCTTTCTTGTACTCGAGGTGCCTCGTGATAGTTCTCATAGTCTCTGCGTCGGGGATTGGAACTACCTCAGCTTCATTCAAGGGCTGTACATTAATTGGTGCTGCACGAACATGCTGGACCGTGTTCAACTTTACTGAAATTTTAGGCTAGCCACCTTTGTGAATTCTCGCAGAGTCACCTCGTACGTGTCGTGTGTGAACAACTCATATGGCATACTCGCGACGGTTACCCCCTCGGCGTGTGGCTGGCACAGCTGCTCTTGATTGATCATGCACAACGGACAGGGGAACTTGCCATGGCTCCAAAACCGAGCCCCTACAACCTCCAGCCACGCCGGCCAGTCTGTCTGAATGTCTAAGACTGCATAGCGAACAGTGTCTCTCGCAGCTAGCTTTTGCAGGTCTCGGGTCCATTCCAATAGAGCCGGATACAGGGAACACCAGCCACGGCATCCGCATTGACACATATCCTCACTTCCTTAGATTAACAGCGGTAAGCTAGAATCAGAATGCAACGATCCTAGGATCACGATCGGACGACGTCATTGCTGGCTGCATGCAGACGAGGCCACTGAGCAGGAATGATAGGAACTTCTGTTCGGAAAGGAGGTCAGTCACGAAGAACCCGGTAAAGGAGTCGTGAACGGAATATCTCACTCCATCCCAATACAATGCAATCGGTCGCACGGGGATTCCTTGGGAACGTGCTTGCGACACTACAGGATGTTGTTCAAAGCAAGATAGCCCGTTGAAGAACTCGTACCGCTTTTCGGATTTTGATAGGACCTCTGGCTTCTCAACGAACAGCTCAAACAGCTTCGATGGCAGCATCATAGGAACCCTTTCGTTAACCCTTCGAGTCTCTCGCTTCATGAATAGTGGTGTGTTGATATAAGTGACATCGGGTTCTGGGTAGAATTTTCCAGCATTACGACGAACGTGTTGGTGTCCGTGTGACTTTGCGACCTCCGGGCGAAGCGCTAGGTCCGAAACTCCTCGTCCCCCGGCTTCCGTGATGTGGAAGCTAAGCTCAGCAACATCTGCACCAGGGATGCTCCCCATCGTGAAGCGGTCTAGCAGGCAAGCTCGCAGGTTTTCGCCAGCACGTGTCTGTTGAGGGAGCAGCGGCTGTTCGGGTTCATCCTCACGGGTTTGGGCTTTGGCTCGTTTTCGCATGCTTCGGGTCCATGGCACACACGACATGCACTATAGAGTCCTATAGAGCCATGAACAGTGCCGGGAATACATGCTCCATGATGTGGCGAGATGTGGCGAGCACTGCGACATTCAATGCATGGTGCACTAGACACTAGGAATCGCGATGCTGTTTGTCCCGAGTCTCGCGATCACGACTTGAAACGGCCGTGCTTCCCCGGCTCGGCTTGGAGATTCTTTAACCCCATGTATCACATTTGGATATCATCTAGCTAAAGCGTGTTCACACGCCACGGATACACCCGGCCATCTTTGAGATGGCAAAACCACAGTGCAAAACTGAGATCTGAAAGCGATCACCATAAAGCACTATGCCTCCTTCACTGCAGAGGCCCTCCTCTTCTTCTTCGCGGTTTGCGGGGTTGCGGGCATGGCTGAGGCTGCCGACATTGCCTTGGCCATGTTGTCGATCTTGCTCGCAGTGTGGTTCGCCCTGGGCGGTTGTATGGAGTTGAACACGTTCGGGATAAATGCAACCGGTGAGTTAAGGTAGTTAAAACCCCAAGCATTCAATGCCTTAAGCCCTAAAGTTCTAAACCCTTTAACCCGAAAGCTTAACACCCGGAAGCCTCCAAAACTTGAAAGCTACAACCTAACCTGAAGGAAGGACCTACAACCCTACAGCCCCATATAGATCACTCTACTCTCGTTCTGCGGATGCGGCCGTGGCTCTGCTCGCAGATGCTGTTGCAGCGGTCGATGAAAACCGTCAGGAGCCGATAGTAGTGGTCCTTCTGGGCCTTCTTCAGGTCCTTTAAAGCTGTCGGGGAAATGAGGGTGAGGCGGAACTCGTTGATGAACTCGGTAAGATCCTCCGCTCCACTTGGGTGGAGGCTTTTCTGGAACTCATCCTGCTTGGAGCGGTACTCCTCCAGCAACGGCTTGCACCACGACCACTCCGAAGGGAAGCGGTCTGCTTCTCCCACCACCCGATCCACGATCTGCTGGCCACGCTCATAGAGGCAAAGGAGCTCCTTGGCTTTCTTCTCCTGAGCCTTGTTGTTCTTCGAAGCACAGCTCTTGGCCTTGGGTTTCGGCTTGTGGCCGCCATTCTTGCCTGACTTGGACTTGCCGGGCGGCTTTTCGTCGGTGGTTGGCGAATCCTCTCGCTTCCTCTTGCTTTGAGGTGTGGCCATGGCTGAGACCGCTGTTGCCGCCTGCGATGCTCCATCATCCACCTGCTCAATCCCGGGCACACTGATAACCATATCCGCCCAGCCTTGGAGTCATGGGGAGATGCCACGACGTCCTCCAAGGAGACGTCCTCGAGACTCAGCTGGTGGCTGGCCGCATACTTTCGTCGAGCTTTCAAACGAACACTCTCGAGCTCGAAGGTTTCGCCCTCGTCCATCATCTCCACCACTTCCTGCCACTCTTCCGAAGTCGAGCTGCTGGACAAGCGTTCGATGAGAAGGTAGTTCTCAGCATCGGCCCATGCATTCCATTCGACAAAGGTGTCCGGGAACATCTTGCACATTTTCATGTAATGAGCAGCCTGTCTGCAGGCTTCAGCATGTTCCGAGCCGCCGAAATGGTTTTGCAATTGAAGCTGATTCTTCCAGCTACCAATCTCTGTCTGCTTAGTCTTGCTTGTCAGCTTTCTCACACGCTTGCGCAAAACCTTCTGAAAGTCACGCTCGAGGGCCCACGTGGTTCTAAATTTTTTGTTCAAATCATCCGTCAGCCAGCGGTAAAGTTCCTTGACCTTCGGATGCTTGGCAAAGGATCGATTGATGGCTTGCCCGACGGCTCCCCTCGCTGTCATGTCGAGCCCGTAGGCCGCCCAGTAATGGAGGCCTTCAGTCGAACCTTCTACCGTCTTTAGCTCGACAGTCGAGGCTTCGAGATTGTGGAACTCAGCGTACTTCTCGATCGCACGGTCTTTGGAGGGCACTTCGGTAACACTGGGCTTTGCCTGCAAGAAGCATGGATGCTTGCTTGGGAGGATCGATCGGCTGGCGCGCAATGTCTGACTACTTTGTAATTTAGCTACAGGCACAATAACACATATCCCGAAAGTCCGAGACTCCAATCGAATCGTTTTACCCCTGCGGAGAAAACCCTTAAATATCCCTCGAATTGAACACAATTAATTCTCGGAAAGCCTTCGCTTCTGCTGCATCAACGACCGGCTGCGGTGGATCAACGACCGGCTGCTGCTCCATCTGCTGGGCGGCTGCCTCCGGAGCTATTGGGCTTTGGTTGCAATAGCTGGTGTTTTTCGGCTTTACTGCTTTCGGTTTGGGGTTCTTTAGGATTGGGCGGCCTTGCGAGATTCGAATGATGCTTGGATTTACAGTCTAGTTCTCATTTTTCAAGCACGAGCCAAGGTCTATATCGATATAAGAGTATACAATATCTAAATACGACAGCCGCTGGCTTTTGCTGGCCTCCTGCACAGCTCCTGCTGCTGGGAGCTGGATCGGTGTACCCGGAGCAGCCATTGCTAAGCGTCTACGCAAGCCGCCCGAGCGTAAACGCACCAAACTAGGCGTAAGCGCCCAAATTAAGCGTAGCCTAGAGGGCTCATCGGTAGCTCATCGGGCCTTGGTGGGGCTCATCGATCCATCCCTGGAAGCTCATCGCTAGATCATCGGGGGGATCTGGCTCTACGTCAAGAAAGCAGGCTGGGACCCAGGGATGGTATCCCGGACGGTTCATGGCAAGATCGACTGAGGCTCATCGGCTGCAGGCTCATTGGAGGCTCATCGCCAGCAATCCTTTAGCCACGGGGCCCAGGATACGAAGGCTAGCTCTACCATGAATCTTTGGGCCTTGGCCTCATCGGGAGCTCATCGGGTGCTCATCGGGGTTTTGCTTGGGGAAGGCTCATCGCATGGTTTTTGCTAAAGATCATGGTTTTCTATTAGAATCAATCAAAACCGCCCGCGGCCGGCCCGCAACCCGCTCCTGGATCTAAATTGACACCGTATAGTAGCTGTAGCTACCATCTGCTGAGTCGCTCCTGTATCTATAGATGAATGCCGTGGGCCAGTGTTCCAGAAGCATTGGAGGATTGCCGGATTGTATCGACCGTCTGAGTAGCTGGCACATGACTGTGGGATTCTCTCTTGACATGAGTGCTCCAGAACTGCTTGCGCACTAGGGGTTGTCACCTTATTGAGATTGTATATGCGTCGTGCACCCATACACTCGAAACTTACCGAGATCCTGATTGCCTCGCACGATTGAAGTAAGCTGAACTATGAACCCAAATTCTACATCAGAGCCTGGAGTCTTGCCGGGCCCGAAGTCTGTGCACATCATCATTACTGAGCACTATAACCTACAACTTCCCCAAGACCCCGATCTGTAGTTTCTTTCCAAAATTTAGAGGCCTGGGTGTACTCTTATCGGAACCGTGTTACAACATAAGATGTCGGCGACTTCCTGTTGCAACACTAGATTTTCTTGGGGCACTATAGGGCTTGGGGGTCCTTGGCTAGGGTTCGCACGACAGTGGTCCTTCGAATTTAAGTGATTAGTTTAAGCTGACTACTGTTCATGCCGAGCCTAGAACTACGGCAGCAAGTCTCCGCCTCTATACTTGTAAGACCAAGGAAGCACACCGTCCCATCCCAGGTTTTGCACGTGCGAACTGGTCCGGACTGGTGCTGCAAGGAAGAATTGAAACCCTGAGGCCAGGCGAAGTACTGCAGCAAGCTTCTGAGTGCGGCTTGAGAAGTTCAAACACTTGGGATTGGTCATGTAGTGTGTAACTTCAATAACAAGCTGGGGCATTCGCTACTCTGGGTTGTTTTGCTACTGCAGTCTGTGTATAACTCACATGCATCACATGTCTACATAGCAAATACAGCACTCTCGAAGTCTTGCAGCTGCAGCTACAAAAACAGAAAGCCAACGAAGCTAGGATCATGCCGTCTGAGTCTGAGTCTCTTCAACGAAAGTTTCACATGTGTCAGGGTTGCCAAGAACACGGGGAGGCTCCGGCGCAGGAGCCTCCTTCTCTCGGTCGCCAGGAGGGCTTTCGGAAATGTGCCGACCACTTCGCCTCAGATTGGCTGGGACGTTTTGCTTGACAGGGAGGCTTTCTGCTTGATCACAAAGAACATCGGCGATGGCACCGTACAACGAATCCGGAGGTGCTTTCTTTTGCCAGGCATGTAGATGACTTAGAAGATCACCATCGTTGTAGGCGGCCAATATTTCATCCTTACGCATCTTCAAATGTAGCAAATCTACCTCGCCCAGCATCAGCTCTACCTGAATCCGCTTCACAATCAGCATCGCCACCCATGCCGGGTGCCGATCATCTTTGCAGACGACCTGCACCTTCTGCTCCCATTTGCCTTGGTCAGCCTTGTGAAACAAAGCCACAATCGAGTTTCTCTTGGATTGCTTCTTGTATTGAACTTTGGTTTCAAACCCTTCCCCTGGTACGTGGCAATCTTCCATGAGTTCCTCGATGCATGGGATGTCACTCTTTCTGGGATCTTGGGCATCCTCGCCGCTCTCCTTCTTCTCTTCTTTGCCAGTGCTGTCAGACTGTCCCACCTTGCCTGCCTCAGGCGTGGCGGTGGCTGCCTTCGGCTTCTGCTTGCACTTCGTTCGACGGGCGGCAAGATCTTCCTGGGCATCGAAAGCTTCTCGGGTTTAATCGAGATGGTTTGGGCAGGCAGAATGTTCGGATGCCCGGTTTCCAATGGTGGGTTGTTGTCTGGGGTGGGTTGTTGTTTGGGTTTGAGGGTTGATTATGTTGCGACTTAACTTGCTAGTGGGGCTGCACATTTAGACACAAGCAGCAGTGCATCGGAGCTGTGATTATACGGGCTGCGGTAGCCACACGAGCCTAGCTCAAGTAGCACATATGACACACATGAGGAAGTCATGCAAACTGTTCTTCTTGTGGAGATATGACACTAAACAAACACAGCCTGTGTTATTCCAGACCTAGCATCCTGGGTGATGTGAGGCACGTCCACAGTCATCCCATCAGAGAAGACACATACTACAGGATCAAAAGGATCCTTGCTCGCATCCACCTCCGGATCTTTAGACCACTCCACAGGACCTGGCCGGCCTTTAGTGATTGCTTTTCGCCAGGCTCGCCCAGACCCTGCATCCCACCCGGTCTCATATTGCGGCTTGGACTCTGATCCAGGCTCTGACTGCTTCAGCTGGTTCGGCTCTTCTAGCTTGGGCTGCTTTGGCTCTGTGCGCTTCGGCTGCTTAGGCTTTTCGGGATCGGGGATCTTTGGCTTTGGCTTTTCTTGCTGAAGCTCAGACTCCTCGTCGGAGTCGCAATAAGCCACCCCCCAATCCTCGTCCGGTGCTCCTGCCACGTGGATGCAGGAGAAGTGGGCCATTCTGGGATCGAACAAAGTCACATGTATCTACTTACTATCTATATAGATAACGTATTCCTATTCGTATATCTATGTACACATAAGCGTAAACACAAAGAAAGAAAGACAAGTACGTAGCCAGTTTTGGGTTTCACATAAATACATACAAATGCATAACCTGTTTTTGAAATCTCGTACATATATATATATATATATTTATATAGAGGTAGGTTGGTAGGTAGGCAGGCATATGTGTATAGGTATATATATATATATATATATATATATAGGTATGTATAGGTATATATAGGTATATATAGGTATATATAAATACATATAGGTATATGTAGGTATACTTAATATATATATATATATATATATATATATGTATATATATATATATATATATACGTATATACCTATATACCTATAGGTGTGTAGGTATATATTAGGTATAGGTAGGTCGGTCTGGGTAAGTAGCGAGGCATAGGTTGGTAGGCAGGCAGGTAAGCAGGCAGAGGTAGGTAGGGATAGGCAGGTAAGCAGGTAGAGGTAGAGAGAGGGAGGTATATAGGGATAGGTAGGTAGGTAAGTAGAAAGGTGGAACGGTAGCGAAAAAGTCGGTAGATGCAAAGGCACGTACATAGATAGAAACCGCAGGCCCCTCCCACTGCACATGTCGAACTTCTAAGGTTCATGTGAAATGATCCACGAGTGAACTGCATGAAACCTGTTCCAATGAAACACAAGCTCGTTCGTTCCTCGATCTTCTCGTTGTACTGCTCGAGCGAGTGCTGCCAGGGTTCCACCCGAGCTCGAAGATTGAAAGGCGTGTGGCCTCCCATCATCCTGAGATGCAGAATCAATGAGCTCCTTCAAACAACTTCATTTGATTATCTGTTCTTTTATCTGAAAGTACCATGAACCTGAGAACAGTTACAAAGTGTAGGGCTAGTCTTCATGATAGCATCTTCGAAGAAATCGTAGCCGACGTGTTTCGGACGGGTCTTGGCGGGCTGTCTGCAAGGCATTGCCGTGCTGCCCTCTTGAGCTCTACGAACCCTGGATTGGAGCCGCCTGAGCCTGTCATCTTTTTCGGAGGGTCTTTTCTTAGGGCCCGCTTCAGACTTGGCTGCAGTGCGTTTTGCTGCTGCTTCGCTCTTGCTGGCATCCGTCTGTGGTGCAGTGCATGTTGCTGCTGCTTCGCTCTTGCTCGCATCCGTCTGTGGCGCTTTGTTTTGCTGCTCGGGCTTTGTCTCGCGGTCGGGAGCCGTAGAAGGGGGCACGGCAACCTCAGGATCATGTTCTTCCTCTTCCTCTTCTCCGCCTTCCTCATCACATTGCTCTACTTGATCCTCCTCACCCTCTTCCTGACTTGGCGCTTTCTTTGCTTTGGCAGGGCTGCTTGCATGCTTCCTTTTCTTGCTCGTCTCGTTTGTTTTGCTTTTCTCTTTTCCAGTCCACATGTCCTGCAGCAGCAGCAGCAGCAGCAGCAGCAGCAGCAGTTACTAAACACAACACGAATTTCTCGATGGGCCTATCATAGGGTTCTCGATGCCCAAGTGGAACATGTCATGTTTCGTGTACGGCATAAGAGGGATTTTGAGTTCATTACGAAGTTGATGGTGTCAAGGGCCTGAAACCTCATGCCAAATTCGTGTGACGATGCTGGCGATGGGATGGTGATGATAGTCACTGCATGCATGGCTATATGGGGAGATGCAGGTGGCCGTGGTGTAGTACCGATCTACCAAGCACTAGTACTCGTCGTCGTCGTCGTCGTCATGGACGGCGGTAAGCACAGCAGCAGCAGCATAGCAGCAGCAGCCGAGGGCGGTGGTTGTGGCGGTGGGAGTAGGAGGAGCACAAGCATTAAGAGTTATAGTCATGCAAGTAATCGTAATAGCAATAATATTAATTGTTGTAAGCAGCAGCAGCAGCAACGGCATAAGCAGAAGAGAAGGACTAGGAGTAGGAACAGGAGTAGCAGCCTCGTCGTCGATTCTAGAGTCCTAGAGCTTAAGTTTAGAGAGTGGGTTTCGAGAGGTGAGGGTTTAGGACTTGGGCGAAATACAGTCGGGAGAAGCCTTCGCCTTGCAAGCAAAATCCTGGCATCCTTCGACCACCTTAACACCCCACATCCGAGCAGGAGCTCACAGAGTTCACAGCCCCAGTTTTGATACCGTCACAAACTTGGAGTCTGGTCAGAAGGATCATTGGCCATAGTAAGTAAAGTTGGGGATGCTATATTTATTTTAATCCTCGCTTGTAACCACTTAGTTGCATAGTTGCAGATGGTCCCCTTCGAGATGCCGCCTACATAAGCACTAACGAACCTAATAATTTTCTAATTTCCCAACTAACCCTGCAAGCCCTTTATGCAATATTTGCAAGCTGAAGCGAGCCCTTAATTGAACACTCAATAGCTCCTGTGGCAACCACTTGCGACATCGCAATGCTTCCTGAGAGACGTGTCTAAATGCAGCGCTGAGCCGTAGTGCATTCGTCTCTGCCCAGGAATCGCCACCACGATGATCGCTCTCCTCCGCGAGCAGCTTGTTTTGTCAGTGTTAAGAAGAATGGCCACGGGGGGTTTCTTTCTACTGCAGTTGGGGGTCGAGTCCTTGTCAATCACCTTCAAGGCGTTGCAGATAGTCGAGTGGGGGAAGTTGAACGTACGATCCACCTTTTGCACAGCCCGAAGATACTCCAAATAAGCCTTCAGCGAAGGGACGTCCTTGTGCTTGACGTCCCTTAGTTCGCTAAGTCCGCTAAGTACGACCATGCAGTCACACAAGACTGGCCTGCGAGCCTATAGCAAATCCATGCATGCTGTCAAGATTCCTTTCCGTTGTGTAGGAGATGAAGTTCTTCTTACAGGCCCAGGGTTTCAAGGCTTCGGCCAACCCAAACGAATCCACGCAGCCCTTGCTTCGTCCAGTTGCCGCCACATTGCCGGAGGGCTTCTTACTCAGCGGCATCTACATGTAGAGGCTATGTAGATTCTGATGCTTTCAGCGAAGTTTCATGCCCCAGACTGGCCCTGCAAAGTCCTGGAGCCTACGTATAACCATCGGCCACTATGGCCAGGACCCGATCACTGACTACTTCCTCTACGTGTAAACATAAGCAGGCATTCAGGGCAGTCAACTTTCGAGCTGCGATCCATCCAAGGTGAGCGGGCACGGCGGTCGTCACAGCTTCTCTGAAAACCTGGAGAGGGCCTCTGACAGTGATGCAACAGATACCTATATGCTAAATATGATTCGGAAATTACTCGAGTTTTCTGCTTTGAAATGGTCCTCCTGGGCTGTTGATGTTTCACGATCAGCACGAATCAGGCTAGCGGAATAAATGATCCCAGCTAAGCTGCTAGACCCTGCGACGCCACGAAGCCTTTGTGACCCAAAGATCGCCAGACTAAGATCTAAACCCCGGCTGCGACATGCAGAGCCTTGCAATAAATCTGTGCATGGGCAGACTCGCCGAGGCCAACAATTCGCACAACACAGCCGCGATACCCGTAACAGTAACAAATACAAGTGTATCGCAAAGCTCTATATATAAATTAAATCAACCCTAGTGTGCCAAGATCATGAATGCAAAAGCCGGGAGATTGATATGTACCTGTAACTTCAACACAGGTTTGTTTCGACGTTTCTATCTTTTGCTGGGTCCTTCTTGTCACGTCTCATGCATTTCTGCCCAATAATTGTTGCTTCCCTCGAGACTCTGAAACTGCACCTTAAGACCAGAACTTCCGGGAACTTAATCACTCGGGCTCTTGTTTCGGCGTCGGTGCAAGGTTGGCTTATCTTTCGAAGATATTCGAATCAGCACCGAACGCCAAACTTTGAATCTGAGACAGGTTGCATTCGAAGAACTGAAACGGTTTTTGTCATGATGCTTTGCAGACATTTGTGTTTCGGTTTTGCGCAGGTTTCGGTTCTGGGTGACATGCACAAAGGTTTGTGCGATTTGGGGGGAGGGGGGGGGGCATGCAATCATGAGCATGGAAGGCCTCCCGTGCTTGATGGCTCACACACTTCAACAGATTCCCGTCGAGCCCGGAAAGCTGGCCACCCCAGCGTGGCACGTTAGCGCATCGTCCCGCTGTCATGTGCCGGCACTGGCACGTTGGCCTCAAAGCGACCACTTTCACGGGCGGTGCGAGCCATCGTGTGAGAGGATCCTTTGTTAAGTGCCAGGTATCCCCTCCGGTAGGGCCACAAGCAGAACGCACGCACTCAAAGACAACGCCGATCGACAAAAGATGTTAGGGACTCTAGGGTTTGTTTTTTTTAAATCCACACTCCGAATTCCTGCATGCAACCAGTCAAAAGCTTACAAGATCGACACAGCCATAGCTGAATTTTTTAGATCCAGAAGCAGCTTCTGGATCTTAAAAATAGAACCAGGACTGCCTGGATCTAATAAATAGATCCAGACGGTGGTCTGGGCAGTTGCCAAACCATTGGATCGAGCTCGCATCTCCGGAAGCCCAAGTTCTACTCTCATGAGTGATGTGTTTACGCGTCTTGAAGCAAGAGGGGTTGGGATGCTGAGTAAGGCTCTTCCTAGTGTGGTTTACGAGCAAGCACTGTCTAATAGGAATTTGTCTTGTGTGGGACTTATGTTCTTGGCGCTACGAACCTGTCAGCCTGGAGGCCTGAATGAAAGGGCTGAACTTCTGAGGCGCCTTACAACGCTGCCGGTGTATGATACAGCGGTGAATGCCACTAGTGGGTTCCAGAAATGGTTTAGGCATCTTGAACGAGCTCGTGCAATGAAGATCTCGGTACCAGATTCATCTCTGTTGCTTGATAGCCTTGACAAGTCCATAGCTGGTATCTTACAGGGCAATCCTTCTATGAACTTCCGCATGCATACCGTGAGAATGCAGCTTCAACTTGACACCCAGCCACACCGTCGAAGAGTTTGGCCGCACTGTGCTCGCAGAACTGGAGCTGTTGTCGGTGGCAATTCCAGATCGCGCGTCAAAGCGGCAAAGGGTTGCTTCGGTTACTTTGGATGGTTCAGAGAAGGGGAAGCCTGGGGGAAAGCCAGCTGGAGGTGGAAAGGGTGTTGAAAAGGGCTCGGAGGCTTCAGGGGCGGACATTTAGACGAATTCTGGGGTTAAGAAACCTTGCACGGGTTGGATCACTGATAAGGGTTGCAGGTTCGGGAAATCTTGTACCTTTTCTCATGCACTTGAGAGACCAGGCAAGTGCTGGGCGTGTGGGGGGAGCCATCAGAAGTCGGAGTGTGTGTTTCCAGGTGGAGGCAAGTACCAGAAGCCACCGGGGTCAGAGAAGGGTGCTAAGGATAATGGGCCTAAGGGTAAACCTAACGGGTCTGGCCAGGACGGTGGGGCTGCAGGAAAGGGCAAGCCTGGTGCAAGTGCATCGGCGAAGGCGGCTGCGACCGCCCAGGCGATTAAGGAGGCCGCACAGTTGCTCCAGAGCTTGAAACTTGCATCCTTGAGACCACACCTTGAGTCTATGTCTGCACTCCTGAAGAAGGCCCAGGTTGGGCAGCCACGGGGTTTGATAGACGGGGGAGCTACATCCTGTTTGAGAACCGCTAGAGAGGATGAAACTGGGTTGCCAGAGGTGCAGGTGAAACTTGCTTGTGGGGAATGTACGCTTCAGGTTAACAGGGAAGGTACGCTTCTTAGTCGATCCTATGTGGCGCCAATCTTGTCAGTCAGAGCGGTGTTGACTTTGGGATATAAGATAGACTGGGACTCTACCAGGTGCAGTATCTGGCATCCAAAGAAGGGTGATCTGGATGTGGACGACAGTACGGGGTGTCCAGAGATTCCGGAGGCTACAGCACTTGAGCTAATTGCAGAATATGAAGGGGTGATTAGGGGTAAGGAGGCTAGATGTGCTAGGATGTGGGGCATCATGCAAGATCTTACCGCCCTAGATGATTCTGATTTGGCAGCTCTGATAGTGCAGCGTGATACGCAAGCAGATGCGGCTATGCAAATCTTCCTTCAAAGGCTGTTTCCGGAGGCTGGGACAGTGCAGGATCCAGTGAATGAGGTTCCCACTTGGAATAGACGGATGAGGCGAAGGTTTGAGAAATCCAGTGGACTGATTGTGCATCTCTTCTGTGGAAAGGGGAGAAAGGTTTTTGATGAGATATCCGATCGGCATGGACTGGCACATGTGCCAGTTGATCGACAGGAGGACCTGCTAGTAGATGGCACGTCCCATTACTTGTTGCGTCAGGCTGCGCAGGGCCGGATTAGGGCAATTGTCGCAGCACCGTCCAGCAGAACCTTTGAAGTTTGCAGGTATCTTGCGGATGAGTCAGCAGTTGGCCTGAGACCTCTTAGGGTTAGGGGGGGAAAGTATAGGTTCATATGTGGGTTGGAGGGGCTTTCTTGTCAAGAAATCTCCCAGCGTCGCACAGATGATGTTCTTCTTCTGCGTATGATGGTGCTGATGGCAATTGCAAACGCAGCGAATGGCTCGCTTGGGGGCGAGGAGCTTGTGAGTGTTGTGGAGCATCCTGAGGATGCGGAAAAGGGTGATGTTGAGAATCAGGTGATGAATTCTTACCAGCCTGAGAAGGGCTTTGCTTCACTATGGGTTACACCAGAGTGGGAGGCATTGAGTAAGACCTTGAACCTGAGTGGATTCTCCTTCCATCAGGGTCCCCTAGGACACTCGAGGATTCGCCCTACCACATTGTTCTGCAATTTGCATCCAGATCCATCTCTAGTTGATTGCTGGCGAGAAGGCTTCAAGTTGGAAGGCAGGCAGAAGGGAAACCGGGCTCTGGGTATGACCTGGTCCGAGTGGGCTCCAGGCCTATGGCTGGCTGTTACCAACATGCTGGGGCGTGCACTGGGAAAACATAAGACTAACGGGGGATCAGCCCTCCGATCTATCGATGCAGGGTTCATTGAGCACTTGCGCAACAACCACACTCCCTTTCGTCGTGATTGCAAGCGTTGCTTGGCCGGGTCGGCTCGTCATAGACAGCACCGCCGAGTGCTCACGCCACAGGCGTGGACACTTTCGGTAGATACAGCAGGCCGTTTTCCAGCAGGTGAAGACGAGGGTAGGGGCAAGAAACCACGGTACTTAATCGTAGGGGTCCTCACTATCCCCATCCTTGATCCAGACGAAAGCGATGTGACTGCAGCAGCCGACAGAGACCCGGGTGTAGATGTAGGTATGTTTGCAGCGCACCTTGATGATGAGGAATGGTTTGCCAGCCAGGGGTGCGAGGCTTCGGAAGATGTCCCCGAGGCCACCTCTAAGGACGTGGTTGACACGGAGCAAGCTTGGAAGGATTGGTCAGAGCGGGTCAAGGCATCTAGGACAGAGTGGCTGACGGAAGCTCAGGCTCAGCATTTGCCAAAGGTTCAGATGATCGACTATGTACTGACTGAACCGGTCGCATCCAAGAAACAACAAGAAGTCACGAATGCAGTAAGTAGAATGTACTCTAGGATTATTGCGGATGGACTTTCAGTTCAGAGACTCCATTCGGACCGTGGTAGAGAATATCATAACGAGACGTTGAGGTCGTGGTGCGCTAAGTTTGGGGTGCATAAGACATTGGCTTTCGCGGAAGAGCACCAATCCAACGGGAGAGCCGAAGCGGCTATCATGCGGATAAAGGGGAAAACTAGGACCATCTTGCAGGCATCAGGGGCTACGCTTTCAGATTGGCCGTTAGCTGCAAAACTTGCAGCACACGAACTTCGGGAAGCAGCTAGAAAAGTACTGAGGATGAAACCCATTCCTTCTATCCCGTACGACACAGAAATTCAGGTCTTGCAACGCTCCTGGCGAAGGGGGGTCTGGGAATCACTGACTGCCAAGGCTTATGCCAAATGCCCCTCATCCGATTGCGCTCGGGGGTGGGTGGTGCGGACTGAGCAGGGCCACCTGTTCACCGCCAGTAAGATGTTCCCTGCCATTGATAGTAGTCGGGTTAAATTTGAGTATACAGGGCCCGTTGTAGACTTGGATGCACCTTCTGTTAGGCTTAAGGAGAAAACTTAAGGCTAGGAAAATGCAGGTTACCAACACCTTAGCGGATCCCAAGAATCCAGCGGATATACTTGCAAAGGAGCTGATTGAAAGGGAGGGGTTTGAGCCAAAGGACGTTGCAGCACTTGCTGTGTGCATGGCCAAGCACATTCATCAGAATGGACGCATGCAGAAGAAGGAGGACCATGGGTCAGCAAGCAGGTTGCGGTGTAGCTTTGTTAGTGGGGGGCGGGGGGTTCACCTTTAGCGGGATGTCCGGGGTCAAGTGTGACACCAAGGATCATGCATGGGTAACCCGTTACTTGACCTCTTACCTTTCGAGGCATACCTCGGTTCCTTTTGCGGGTGTTGGCCTGGCTTTGAATGTGGATCACGCAATGCACAGGGATATTCATAACCAGCGGGATGTGCCAAATGTGGTGTTGCCAATTGTAGCTTCAAGCAGCGGTCTGTGGATCCAGGACAAACCGAGTGCTCAGGTTATCACAGCTGGTGCTGGGACGACGGAGAATCGATGCTTGAGCAGTGGAACTGAACTACAGGGCAAGGTGTATCCATACAAGTCGCATCAGCCCATAGAGTTCCGTCCTCATGTGTGGCGTGAGTCGTTGCCTTCTGCAGGACCACAGCTGTTGCTGTTTGGCTTTGGGTCAGACCCTTGCAAGTTCAACGGAATCCCATCCTTCAGAGCAGAAGCATGATGAGGTGCAGGTGCGATGCTGTGCTACCTTGTTCAATGCGCATGTGTGGCATGAGTCGTTGCCGTCTGCATGGCTTTACGGCGCGTGGGTTGCATAAACTAGGAGGTGCTGATCGTCGCTTGCTGTAGGACTCTGGTTTTACCTTTGCACCGGGCACTAAGACCGAGTATTGGGAGTTCAACCCAGCTCAGAATACGGTTACTCGGTGCCATCCTGCACCCAGGCGGGCTATGTTTGCACCTAGTGATGACGATGAGCTGCCCTTTGATCGGTCGCGACTGGGTGATTTGCGCCTCTGCATACAAAACTTTCCGAATGGGAGGTCTGTTCAGGGTTTCCAGAACTGGCGCAAGGGCAGGGGTAGAGCTTCAAAATTGGCTTGGGCCGGACGATCTGTCTTTCGCCTTCGACCTGAGCGCCCATCCTGTGCCAGTGATGGGGGGGGATCCGGTCTCAGATTCCTTGAAAGTTTCAAGCTTCGGAGCACAAGTTTCTGGGGAAGAGGTAGTGGAGTTGCCGCATGTCAATGAAAGGTTGACGATGACTCAGGGCAGTTTGGGTCAGACCCTTGCAAGTTCAACGGAATCCCATCCTTCAGAGCAGAAGCATGATGAGGTGCAGGTGCGATGCTGTGCTACCTTGTTCAATGCGCATGTGTGGCATGAGTCGTTGCCGTCTGCATGGCTTTACGGCGCGTGGGTTGCATAAACTAGGAGGTGCTGATCGTCGCTTGCTGTAGGACTCTGGTTTTACCTTTGCACCGGGCACTAAGACCGAGTATTGGGAGTTCAACCCAGCTCAGAATACGGTTACTCGGTGCCATCCTGCACCCAGGCGGGCTATGTTTGCACCTAGTGATGACGATGAGCTGCCCTTTGATCGGTCGCGACTGGGTGATTTGCGCCTCTGCATACAAAACTTTCCGAATGGGAGGTCTGTTCAGGGTTTCCAGAACTGGCGCAAGGGCAGGGGTAGAGCTTCAAAATTGGCTTGGGCCGGACGATCTGTCTTTCGCCTTCGACCTGAGCGCCCATCCTGTGCCAGTGATGGGGGGGGATCCGGTCTCAGATTCCTTGAAAGTTTCAAGCTTCGGAGCACAAGTTTCTGGGGAAGAGGTAGTGGAGTTGCCGCATGTCAATGAAAGGTTGACGATGACTCAGGGCAGTTTGGGTCAGACCCTTGCAAGTTCAACGGAATCCCATCCTTCAGAGCAGAAGCATGATGAGGTGCAGGTGCGATGCTGTGCTACCTTGTTCAATGCGCATGTGTGGCATGAGTCGTTGCCGTCTGCATGGCTTTACGGCGCGTGGGTTGCATAAACTAGGAGGTGCTGATCGTCGCTTGCTGTGGGACTCTGGTTTTACCTTTGTACCGGGCACTAAGACCGAGTATTGGGAGTTCAACCCAGCTCAGAATACGGTTACTCGGTGCCATCCTGCACCCAGGCGGGCTATGTTTGCACCTAGTGATGACGATGAGCTGCCCTTTGATCGGTCGCGACTGGGTGATTTGCGCCTCTGCATACAAAACTTTCCGAATGGGAGGTCTGTTCAGGGTTTCCAGAACTGGCGCAAGGGCAGGGGTAGAGCTTCAAAATTGGCTTGGACCGGACGATCTGTCTTTCGCCTTCGACCTGAGCGCCCATCCTGTGCCAGTGATGGGGGGGGATCCGGTCTCAGATTCCTTGAAAGTTTCAAGCTTCGGAGCACAAGTTTCTGGGGAAGAGGTAGTGGAGTTGCCGCATGTCAATGAAAGGTTGACGATGACTCAGGGCAGTTTGGGTCAGACCCTTGCAAGTTCAACGGAATCCCATCCTTCAGAGCAGAAGCATGATGAGGTGCAGGTGCGATGCTGTGCTACCTTGTTCAATGCGGGGACTCAGGAGAAGGTTCAGCCGTTCTCAGCGGAACAGGGCAGAGGAAGGGAGAGGTATAGAACTGACCAGCGGGTTAGAGGTGAAGGGTCGCCAGCTCCAATGTGTAGTTGGGGGTCTAGGTTTGCGTCGCGGTTCAGGTTGAGTAGCTTGCAGACCATTGCAAGTCTGACGGAATCCCATTCTTCAGATCACATGCGTGATGCAGCAGATGCACCGCAAGTGTCCTCAAGTGTGTCAGATGCATCAGGTGCACAGTTGGGGTTCTCCGGGGAGGGTAGTCCCTTGAGTAAGTGTGGTCTTGTGAAGGGGATTGAAGTACTAAGGCCTGTGGGTCCGAAAACGGTAGTTAGTGAAGAACTACCACGGTGCTGTCCGGAAAGTGTCTTCCTGGCATGTGTGACAACAGAGCTTCAGCTTCTACGCAAAACTCTCGAGGCAGATGACGGAGGAAACTTTGCCATGGGGGAGTACAGGGATAAAGGGTTATCTTGGGACAGGGATCCGGACTGTCTTGGTCACAGGGTTCCAGAGTGTCTCAGTTCGTTGGAACTGTGCGCTCAGCACGGAGTTGCTGATGATAGCTACTGTATCGCAGAAGTTAGTTGGCCTGTGATGGTTTGCCCTGAGGAAGTTGCACAAGAGCTTGCGTCGGATCATCTGTGTCGTTGTAGGTTGCTGGAAGCCTTTGATGAGGATCTTACGGGCAGCCTGAAAGAGTGCGAAGATGAATTGATGTTGGAGCTTGGTAGTCTGGAGCGTGAGCTACATGTGCTTCGTTGCATGGATGTAAGAAGGCTAAGTAAGCTTGAAGCGGGTGGCCATGAGAATTCAGTTCTTCATGAGCTGAGAAGTGTGGCAGTTGCTAGTGAACAGGAGGGTGTGAGCGAAGAGGAATCTAGCTTGGGTTCTTCGGATAGCAAGCCTGATGAGGACCCGCCCCCACTTCAGACAAAGATTATTTCTCAGGAACAAGTCCGGCGGGAGCCACACAAGTGGAAAGATTCGCTGAAAGAGGAATTCGATTCCTTAGTATTTAGGACGGAGGCTGTAGAAGAGTTGCGAGATGAGCAATACAACTGCCTGTTGGAAAATCCAGATGTTGCTGTAGAGGTGATCCCTGGGAAAGTGGTTTATGTTAGGAAGCCAACTGGGAGACGCAAGGCGAGGATTGTTGGGTGCGGCAATTTCTGCTAGTCAGATGGCACGTCTCAGAAAGTGGATCTTTTTGCCAGTGGGGCTGGCTCGGAGTCCATCAGGATGATGGTCAGAAGGGCCGCCATAGAGCCCAGCTGGCACATGGTTTCGGTAGACGTGCGCACAGCATTCTTGCAGGCGCCTCTCCTGGACATGAAACTGGAAGGTCGTCAAAAGGTGACTGTGGTCAAAGTGCCTATCATTTTGCGGGAAACTGGGATTACAAAGGCTAGATACTGGATGGTTAAAAAAGCCCTGTATGGGCTAGCTTCTGCACCAAAGTCATGGAGTGTTCATCGGGACAAAGTGATGACAGAGCTTCGGATTCCCTATGAGGGCAAGATTCTGCAACTGGTTAAGATGGCAGAGGATGTCAACCTGTGGCATGTGGTGGAGACATCAGCTGCAGGAGAGTCGTCAGAAAAAGGCCAGGATCAGCCAAGGAAGATAGGAGTTATCGCTTTGTACGTTGACGATATCTTGATTGCTGCTGAGAAACCAGTTGCTGATGCCGTGGTGATGGGTCTGCAGAATCATTGGGAACTGTCCTCGCCAGAATGGTTGTCCAAGGATGGCGATTACTTGAAGTTTGCGGGCTACGAGCTGCAAAGAACGACTGAAGGTATTCGACTTCATCAGGAGAACTACACGAAGGACCTGTTGGATCTTTATTTCAGTGAGATTCCAGGACAGGAACCAGTTCCAGCAGTCAAGCACCGAAGGTTCCGGAACTGTTGGAGGGAACGGACCTACTTGCAGTTACCAGGAAAGCTCAAGGGATTATAGGACAGCTTCTTTGGCTTGCAAATCGGACGAGGCCAGACATTGCTTATGCGGTAAATATGGCGGCGAAACAGATAGTGGCGAATCCTCTTGAGGCGCTTGAGCGAGCCCAGCACGCTGTTCGGTACTTGAGACATGCTCCCGAGGTTGGTTTGCATTATAAGGTGCCCAGTAGGTTGTGTGGTAAATGGGATCAGCTTAAGTTCAGGGAGGAGGCAAAGAGCATAGATGCATACTCGGATGCGTCGTTTGCCGCTGATGAGCAGAGTCGAAGCTACGGATGTTTCCAATTGTTCCGGGGTGCAGCTCTTATTGCTTGGTCGGCAAGTCGCCAAACACTGATTGCTTCTCATACAGCTGAGTGCGAGCTGTACTCTCTGGCGGAGGCCCACTTGCTTGGAAAATCGATGAGGCCTACAATTGCGGCACTGTTGGACACGGCGGAAGATCAGATTGAAGCGAGACTTTATTGTGATAATTCTGCGGCAATTCAACTTTGTGTGCTTGAGTCAGGTTCGTGGAGAACTAGGCATCTTCGACTGCGCGGTGCGGTAGTACGTCAGGATTTGGAATCAGGGCAGTGGTGCTTGTCGCATCTTGACGGTGTCTTCATGCCTGCGGATCTGGGAACGAAAGCAGTAGGCCCTGCTAGACTTGAAGATCAGATTAAGGTTTGCGATTTATGGGCTCCCCACCTTAAGAGTAATCCTGATCCACCACGACCCCAAGTAGCTTCGTTATCAACTGGACAAACTGGTGTTGCAAAAGCGCTGCTTGCACTGGTATTCTTGATACAGTGTTCTGGTGCCAGGGCAGAGCCGGTATCAGAGTTGAGTAGCATGCCTGGGACCCTGCTTCAAAGCTTTGTTGTAGGATTTGGCTTGGGTTGTGGTTGGTGGTGCGCCGCTAGATTGGGAAGGTTTCTTCAGGATTGTTTTAGGCCACGACCAGTGTGCGTGGAGATGCGAGTCACTCGCTGCTTCGCTGAAGAAGTAGTCCAGACTGAGGCTCTGGGGTGCTTGGAAGCGGGGGAGCAGGAGCAAGCAGAGGGTTTAGGAATCGTAGTGCCTGAATTGGGTACGATGGAAGATCTGTGTGAGAGAGCGTTTCCGGAGTTCGTTGAAGACGCATCAGGACTGCATGCCGGATTAGTTGCACTGCCAGGTCCAGTTGATAGGGATGGGTCTCCTGAGGTGATGATTCCGGATTCGAGGGGAATGCAACTTCAGTATGATGCTGCGCATGCCTATGCATCGGTGGAGGGAGTTGAGCTCTACTATACCCAGGTGCCTGAAGAGCTTGCTCGAAGAGGAATGCCGGAGGCCAGGGATCCAACCGTTCCTATGCCCCCAGGACACCAGCCTGAAGTTCCACCCGATGTTGAGGATCCAGATGTGCCCGAGGATCCCCATAATCATAGGTTTGTATATGCGGATGATGTTGCAAGTAGTGAGAGTGGGACTGAGGAGTCGTCTTTTGGACAGTGGACAACTGACTCGGGAATGCCCCGAGGACCCAGCTCTGATGACGATGAGCCGGAGCGAGCGTCTGGTTTTCAGTACAATAGATCCGGTAGTTGTACAAGTAGATCCTCAAGAGGTGCCCGGACCTTAGGAGTGCTTAGTGCTGCAGCTTCTGTTTCAGGGGTCGATGGTTATGCCACACCCTCTGAGAGTTCCGACGGCGCATGGGAACTGGGGTTGCTTCTGGGGATGTTTGCTTTGGTCTTCGGGCTGTTAGGTGCGCTAGGTGCTTGGTGTGTCCTTCAGAGAGTTGCAGTTCGTGAGACGGGCAGTGTTGCGCGGGACGGCAGTGCTGTTCGAGGCTCCTCAAGTGATGCGCAGCTGTTGGATGATAAGCACGTAAGTACCCCAAAGCGAGCCACGAAGTTAGAGCAGTCGTATCCGTCTCCAGTGGTCAACATCACGGTTTGGAATGAGGTTGATACTAGGGGAGGGTCTAGAAGGGTAGAGGTTAGTTCTTGCGAGCAACCTACAGGGGAAGAAGAAACAGGGCTTATAAGCCAGGGAAGTGTTAAAGGGGATCGACAGGGCTTAGAGAGGCAGACTTCCGAGAGGGAGCGAGGGGTATCACTTCGACGACGACAGCCTCACCCCATAGTCCCTAGTGGTTTAGACCTTTCCCTTAAAAAGTCGACGACTGCGAGCCTTGGAAAAGGCTGTGGGCTGCCGGCACAGCGGCGTGCAGAAACCCCCACTCCGAGAAGGTGCAACCAGCTCGCAGGCTGGCCCCAGAGTGCATGCCGAACGAGTCGGCGACAGATTCCCAGCCCCAGGACCCTAAGGGTTTAGGACCTGGTAAGACCCGAGATAGTGAGCCAAACCCCGACCCAGTAGACCCTAAAGGTTTAGTCCCTGGAAACCCCGCGATTGATTTCGAAAGGCGACCAGAGGGTTGCGGATCGGGGGGCCGAGGCAGCAGCCTCCAGCAGTAGGGTTGACCGTAGGGTTGAGGTTGACATTGTTAGGCGACCTTGGGGTTTGAAGAAGTCGGTCATAATGAGCTGTAGGGCTGAGAATCAAATGGCACACGGGCGTCCAGTTGTTTATCTGACTCAGAAGGGGGATTGCGCTCATAGTACCTTGGGTTGTCGACCTATGCAATTTGCTAGCTCACCCATCGTTCGTAATTTATGTCCCCACTGCGTTGGAGAAACTAGGATGCCGCCTAGACGTATGAGCGGTGTAGACTGTCTTAGACTGTGTGCTGCACTTCACAAAGTCGGGCCAGTGTGTGCACCTTTCAAAAGAGTGCGAAGCGATAGCAGTCAGCGAGGAACTAATGGCTCGCAGACTGTGCAAATGTTGCAAATGGGGTGATGGTACATGAATGCCGATGAGGCATTTGCTTGCAAGCTTTTAGGTAAGGGTCCGTTGAGGTGTGGTGTTTTTCGGGTATTTAGGCTGTGTTAGGGCTTTTGAAGGAGGCAGTAAGCTTCCGAGGGAAGAGCGTGCACAGGTGAGAAACGGGGCATGTCTCCGTTTCTGGGGGAGTGACTGTGCATCAGGATTCATGCCAATTGTGTGCATGCGCCCATCGCTCGAGCCATGCTGGCTGGGAGGTCCGTGTGTGGGGTTCAGGTGTTAAGGGTCCCCAGGCCTCAGAACAGTTTTTCACCATGATCGGCAGAAGCCAGCATCTGTTAGTCTTTCGGTAGACCATTTCAGCAAGATTGTAGATCTCACATTCTGAGGAAGTCATGCACAGCTCAGGAATCTACATGCGTTCGCTGTTGGTGTGAAAAGTCGTGGGATAAGTCCTTCCAGAGCTCTTGCCTGCTTCACGCAACTCTTACAGGGTGGGTCCCCTGCAGGCAGGATAAAAGGGGTGGGGAGGCACGGAAGTGCTCCCGAAGCGCGTGGAGTGGCTTCCTTGCCTCGGCCAGTTGCTTTTCACCAGTCCTGCGGCCGCAGTGCGGCGCAGACTGTGTACAGTTTCAGACCAGGAGCCTCGTGCCGTAAGTGCCGAGAAAAGGTACAGGGCCGAGGGCAATGTTTGTTTCGGAGGGTTGTCTGGTAGGTCTAGTGTTTGGTCTCCGGCCGCCCGCTGAGCCCTAACGACACTTCCGTGCTCTCGGCTGAGGGGCGATTGTGACTGGGCCGGCTGTGAAGCTGTGTGTTTTGTTTCATGCATGCTGTTGTAATTCGTGTTCCGCAACATTCTGGCTCAAGTAAGCACGGCTGAAAGTCGTAGGTTGCTTCGCGTATGCCTGCGGCACTGGTTGTGCGCAGCAACGCCCAGAGTGGGCGTTCGGCTTGTCAGGGCCGTTGAACGACGCTTTGGGCACAGTGATAAAAAGAGGGCAGCGTGCGATTGCTTGTGCAACTCTGTCTGCCCGTGACCCTTCACATCCTGCTCCTGCTCCTGCTACTACTTACTACTATATTCATTCCAATCGCAGCCGGTTGCTCAGCTTGGCGCGTCAGTCTAATGGCAGTGCATTGCGCCGGCGCCTCTAGGGCTCTATGACCATAGGGTCGAGTTCCGCTACGAATAGCTGCAAACTGCGCATCGGCAAGACCCAGCGTTCTCGCTCTTACTGACTAGGTGTGTGAACGGTGGACACCAGATGTACAAATAGATGCTCAGATTGGCACAGGCATCACGGAACACAAGCGACGCGAGTGCACTGCGTCCTGACACGGCTGGTTGGCAGACGCATGAGCACAGTGGCCAAAAATGGCACACTAGATATCAGACAGTAGGGGCCGTCAATGGCGCCACTAGGCTCACTCCAGAGATTTCAGCACCCAAGGGAGGTCTGGCTGCAAAGCATCGCCGGAACACAGCTTTCTCGCACATACTAACTGTGACCTGGAGGGACGCACGCGTCAAAATCCAAACCACATCTCGAAGCATACGTGGGTCCCGGTGCGGGCCATCCCATCCCAGGATGGGGTAGGTTGCCGCCGCCAGCTTTCGGTCAGCGTTCGGGTGTAGCGATGATCTGCAGCTAAACACTCATCGGGCATTTGAAGGAAACGAAGTTTCTGCAACAAGCTCACGCGAGGGAACGTTTGACAGTTGGCAACAAAATGCGTGAGTAGGACCTGGTTACCTATAAATGACTGAATTTCCGCTTGCTTCCGCACGTGCTGTGAAAGAGGCATGACGAGTTGACGAGTGTGCTGCTTCCCTCAGCTCCAGCGGAAAGAGCTGGCACCCTCACACCATGAGTCCTGGTCAACAGCAAGGAAGGTTTTCAGCCAGGAACTCAACCCGGACTTGCGACCGGGCCGGCACTGCGAATGACTAGCTTTGCTTGGATGTCCTGAGCCCATGGGTACGATAATGTCGGACTATTCCGAGCACGTTTCCAGTTGACAGCCTGGCGGCATCCTTGCCTCATGCCCGGGCTTGCCTCAGATCAAGGGCCTGGGGACTCCTTTCGGAGATCCCGGGGCTTGGGTTTACCCAAGTCGCCAAACATTGCACACAAGAGTAGAAGCAGAATACCCCTGAAGGCTGAGTGCCGAGGGTCTGCATTCATCTACGCCAAGCTAGTCAGGCAAAAAAAGGCGTCCCGCTAGTGGGACATAGCTCAGTCGGGGTGCTTACTACTACTACTACTACTACTACTACTACTACTACTACTACTACTACTGCTACTACTACTACTACTACTACTACTACCACTACTACTACTACTACTGCTACTACTACTACTACTACTACTACTACTACTACTACTGCTACTGCTACTACTACTACTACAACTACTACTCGCAAGCGTGTCGATGATTTCCGAAAGTCGTTTGCGCGATCTTGGACCAGGCCGAGGATTGTGGGCACTTGTACGGCTTCGGAGATCCTGCTGCAAAGCGTTCCAAGCTCCAAGAGATTGTGCAGCAGCGAGTGAAGGCACTTGGAAGGGACATGGCCAGCACTTGTTTTTCAAGACGAGGGCTTGGGGGTTCGCAGCGCACCTGCTCGCGCAGGATGTGGCCACTGCCAAGGAAAAGCTCCCACCAGAGCATCTTGCGGAAACAGCACAGGCCTTCGTCAAAGAGTTCGGCGCGCCGCAGTCTCTGGTGGACATTTCGGAGAAAAGCATGCAAAATTATGCGACACCGCTTTCGGTTTGTCGATGATGGACATCGTCCCCCACAGGAAATGTAGGCGACTTGGCTTTCTGTGGCCTTCAGGACTGCATCGGCGCGGCCGAGAAATCTTCTTGGTCCCTGGCTCTGGCTGCAGAGTTCAAGCGGGCCTCCCCTTCGAAGGCAGCATGACAGGTTGACAATCGAAAAGCGGGATGTTGAGGTTACGAGGTATCTTGTGTGGCAAAGGCTGCATGATTTGTGGACAGCTATCTCTTGACACGAAGGGCGACATCAGCCCTGACCTGGATGCTGCCGAGCAGGCACGGACAGACTTTAAGAAGATGGTTCCCAAGACTGCTCAAAAGGTGACGACATGCAGTATGTCAGCATTTTCCCACAAGCACAATACTGGTGTTGAATATACGAATGTTGCTGCCCTCAGTTGTCTCACACGATGTCAAGTTGTTCTTTGCACAAGGCTCTGGTCTACAGTCACCATGGTGCGAGCATCCTCTCGGTATTGACCGAGCCCAAGTGGTTCAAAGGCACTCTGGCAGACCTCAAAGATGTCCGAGTCAGGAGACTGCGGCTGAGACGGGAAAAGTTTCCACAACCACGCGGTGGGTGTTTCTCCGTTTTTTGGAGGACGCAGGCCTGGGCCACGAAGGAGGGAAGAAGGCGGCCCGCCTGCCTGCGGAAGGACTTCTTGATCGATGTACCTCGGCAGAACTTGAGCTGCCAATTTCTCCGATGGAAAAGCGTTCTGAGCGTGTTGGGTCTGGGTGAGTCACTGAGGAGTATCAGGTCCTTGAAGCCGTCGCTCACGGTGCAGACACGGTGCTCCTCATGGTTTCCATCCTCTCGCAGACCAGGCCTTCGCGTAGAGACCCTGAAAAAAGAGAGCTTTCAGAGCCAATAAAACGCAGTGTCGGAGGCTGCAGGCATTGCTGAGCTGCTGCCGGAGCCAGGGCCTGGAGCCCTTGGTGGAAGTTGTCACCGATAGTGAGCTGGAGGCCCCTCCCCGTCCCCTCGCCTTGCAACCCCACTTCCTTTCGCCTTTTCTCAGAGGTCGCGTTACGGGCGGGGGCCAAAGTGCTGGGGGTGAACAACCGGAACCTGCACACCCTGGTCCTGGATAAACACCGCACACAGGCAATCTCTCAGGAGACCCGCGAGCGCTTCAAAGCCTGAAAGGAGTGTCTGAGTCTCGTGGATCCTCGTGTCTCGCCAGGAGCTAGCACGGCGGGGCGTGGCAGTTGGCACGGAGGTGAAGTTGTTGGCTCTCAGCGGCCTTTCCAGCGCTGAGGACGTGGCACACTGCAGGCAGATTCGATGCTCTGGGATCCTGGTGGGCGAGGCCCTGATGAGGGCACCGGATCCAGGCTGCGCCAGCAGAGTGACTTCGCAGATTTACAGAATGCACTACGTCCCCAGAAGTGCTACGACACAGGTGCTGCCATTCTGGCCATGATGGCACCCGGCGAAGGCGTTGCAGCGCTGCCGGTGGCGCCGGGGGCTGTACTGGTGAAAGTCTGCGGCGTACGACGCGAGGTGCTATCGATCGCACCTCCCCTCGGCGTCCAAAGAATAGCTGGAGTTGTCACAGTGAGTTTGCATACGATACGATACTGTATAACCAGAGTCCTGTTAACCTATAGTACTATAGTGGTTGAGATCATAAACTTTAAATTTTTTGGGCTTCTTAGATACCACCCTTCGAACCCAAATTTTTAGATTTTTCTGGACCGATGATCTCGACAGCTAGGAGCTATCATTATGTAGGAAATTATGAATGAAGCTTCGTGCACGTAGCTGCCGTAGCTGGCCTTCGCAGGAGGATGCGTCGTGCGCCGTCGCTGCCGGTGCCAACCTCATCGGCGTGATTTTCGCCAAGTCCAAGCGCCAGGCCTCACAAGAGGAGGCAGGCCTAATTAGGGAAGAGAAAACGGGTGTCCGAGCTGAACCGTATTGCCAGGGCTCAAAACCGTTTGGCTGCCGAGGCGACACGCCTGGTGGCGGCAGTACGGCGCTTCGGGGAGCGCAGCGGACGGCTGCTGCGCCCAACAGGGAGCCCCCCGGCTGCAGCTGCAGCAGCGCTGGCGAAGCAAGCGGAGGCACTGCGCTCCGCCTGTCAACGGCCTTTGGTGGTGGGTGTGTTTATGGACCAGGCTTTAGAGGAAGTGTCCAAAACCACCACCGCAACCGACGTAGACGTGGTGCAATTGCATGGTGGCGAGAGCCCAGACTTCGTCCGGGAGCTGCGGGCGCAGCTGCCAGACACTTGGATCATCAAAGTCGCTCACCTTCCTCCGACTTCGAGCGGTGAGGGCGCGTCTCCGGAAGAGCTTGAGGAGCTGAGGCAGCGTGATAAGCTCAAAACATGTATGAAGGCTTTGGGTTCGGTTTGCTGATGGGATTCCAGGGTGTCCAAGGTGAATGCTCCGTCAGAGCTTGAGCTCCCCACTGCTTACCCGAATCGAGGCTTAAGCTGATGGGCTACTGCGAAGTGTGCGACTCCATCTTGCTTGACACCGCCGTCAAGGGCAGCAACTCGGGTGGCACCGGTGCTGCTTTTGATTGGGCAGTGGTGCGGGTTGTGCAGGAGCACTGGCAGATTCCAGTGATTGTGGCCGGCGGCCTCACCGACACGAACGTGGCGGAGTTGGTTGCGTCGGTTGGCCCCTTCGGTGTGGACGTTGCGAGCGGAGTTGAGGATGCCCCTGGCGTCAAAAATGGCGAGAAGACTCCGCGGTATGTCCGTGAGGCTAAACGGGCCCGGTTTTCCAAGTGAGCCGACATGCGCCGATGTGTACTCTTGAAACAGGATGCAGACGGAGAGCGAGAGAGAGGGACAGAGAGAGATAGCGATAGAGAGAATAAGGACCTTTCCCACTCGAAGTTTCCAGCTTGCTGCGCAGCCAGCGTCCGTAGCTTCGGGACATTCGAAGGATGTGCTTCGCCGCCTCGTCGAGATGCTTTGCACAGCCAGTACCTCAGGACCTCGGAACGCCGTGGCGGCCTGTGGTGGTGCTGTCTGAGGTTGGGGACGCCGGGCCCAAGGTGGTGAAACAGAAAGAGGGCGCAGACAACGCTGCAGATCGGCTCCTCTGGCAGTCCCTCGGCTCCCGGGACGGCTCCCGGGCTCCCTGCAGTCATCGCTCTTCCCGGCTCGGTAGCTGAGGTCACAAGCGCGCGGAGTCTACAAGGCGCTTGGGAGCGGTGGGAGAGGAGAGCGGCCCTGCCCCTGACTCGGAGACCGACTTCGAGAGCAAGCTTCTGACGACCAGCGCAGAGTACTATCGCTCCAAAGTGGCCGGCTGGATTGCAGCGTGCGCGAGATTCTCCCAAAGCGGGAAGCCTCAATAGCTTTAGGGAGGAGGACGTTGTGGGAACCTATCGTTTTGAAGGTTTGTAGTGGTCGGGAACGACGTACCAAGGAAAAGCAAACATAGAATTATCAAACCAAAACCGGAAAACCCTCAAGCCCTCCAAGTTGCGACGCATCATTGCACTCTATATACCTTGCATATATCCTAATGAACACCCTGTAGCTTATAGAACTCCTTATAGCATTCCCTCTACAATACCACCTAAATTGAATCATATATACCATTCAGAACACCCTTTACATACCCTATAGAATGCCCTCTACAATGCCCTATACAATACCTTAAAATATACCTAATAGAATACCTTATAGAATACTCTGCATAGTACGCGCAATGTACCCGATATGTATGTGTATATACATATACCTATATATATATATACACCTTACAAAGACATCTGGAATAGCCTGCAGAGTACCTCATGGAATATCATCTACATGCAAGATACCCCCAGTATATCTTTCATAAACCCTGTAGAATACCGTATCGAAAACCTATGAGGATTTATATAAGGACAACCAGGAGGAGCATAAGATCTCGCCCTCACCATCTACACTGTAGCTTATTGAGTAGAGGTTTTCTGTAGGAAGTCAGGAACTCAGGCGAATACCCTATAGAATGCTTTACAGAACACACCCCTATATGCCTTAATGAATTTCATAAAGACTATCATGCAGAATATGCTGTAGAATCCTCCCTAGATACCTCATACACATATATATATATATATATATATATATATATATATATATAAACGCACACTTGATTGAATATGCTACCCGCTATCGCCTAAGAATACCTATCATACCCGTATATATATATATATATATACACATATCATAGCCTAAAGAATACCTAAAGAATACAATCCTAAGAAAATCCCTATAGAGTACCCGATAGAACGTGCACAGAACACTTTATAGAATGCAAAACGCATACCCCATACATGCATATATATATATATATATATATATATATATATATATTGCCATGATATGATATTATTACCCTATCCGATACCCTTTCGAGTACCCTATGGGATACCTATAGAACGCCATAAGGATAGAGCAGTCAAATAGTGAAAATCGAAAGGAGTCCAAGAGCTGAGATTTCCCCTAGTTGAACTGGAGCTTATTATTGGAGCTTATAATTGAGTAAGGGTTTTCTATGAAGGAAACCAGGAACCTGGAGGAATAGCATAATAATCATAAAGTACGATATAGAACACACCCTTTCTTTACAGACCCTGGAGAATTTCATATAGAATACACTGCAAAATACCTCACAAAAGACCCACCATATACCTCAGACATACCTTATTGAATACCCTATGGCGCCTGTAGAGTACCTTGTAAAATACGTTCTAGAATACCACCTACATGGAATACCGTGTAGAATACCTTGTACAATGCACCCTATATACCCCCGATGTACCTTACAGAATACCATCTGCAATACCCTACAGAATGCAGCTGGGGTCTATTGAGGTTCAATAGCCGATATTTAACCTCAATAGCCCCCCCCTCCCCCGGAATCCAAGATCCAAGATGTCCCCAGAAAGTTTTTCAGACAATCTTGGATTCCGGGGGGGAGGGCTATTGAGGTTAAATATCGGCTATTGAACCTCAATAAACCCTAACCATGGAATCCAAGATTCCCCGAAAAACTTTCTAGGGGCATCTTGGATCTTGGATTCCGGGGGGGGGGGCTATTGAGGTTAAATATCGGCGATTGAACCTCAATAGCCCCCCCCCCGGAATCCAAGATCCAAGATGTCCCCAGAAAGTTTTTCAGACAATCTTGGATTCCGGGGGGGAGGGCTATTGAGGTTAAATATCGGCTATTGAACCTCAATAAACCCTAACCATGGAATCCAAGATTCCCCGAAAAACTGTCTAGGGGCATCTTGGATCTTGGATTCCGGGGGGGGGCTATTGAGGTTAAATATCGGCGATTGAACCTCAATAGCCCCCCCCCCCGGAATCCAAGATCCAAGATACCCTTAGAAAGTTTTCCGGGAGATCTTGGATTCCATGTCTATTGCAAGCTAACTATTATATGCTACCGAAGGGAACGCCGTGAGACTTCCGAAAACCATGCAACCGATACCGAAAACTACAAAACCATAGGTTCCCACAGCGTCCTCTTCTGTAGCTTTAATCTCTAATGGTCAGGTGCCGGTGGAGATTCAAGTTCCACACTTTGGAGTTGTCCCTTGTTGGGCTTCTGTGCCTTTCGTCGCCCCGAAGAGCTCAGCAACCTTGGGACAAGAGGGTATTGCATGGGACTTGCATACTTTATCTTGCTTGCAACGGGGAGCTGGTTGGCGTCACGTTGTATTCATAAGCATGCATTTTCCCGAGTGTCTGCTTTGCCAAAGCAGAGAGCATCAATGTGCATCGTGGTTTCTGCATTTTCGAATCTCAGAGTTTTGTCGCGTTGGAACGAGTTTCAGTGTTTTCTGTTCGGTTGGGGGTGGTGCGAAAGAGCTGGCGGGCGGGGGGGGGGGCTAATCGCGTTCTTGTCTCATGCCGCTGCGATGGGCTTGAAGGGCGTTTCTTGCGTTTGGGAAAGCCGGTGGTTCTTGTAAGAAACAGTTTTGCCGGTGCTGGAGGTGAGATATTTGCTGTGTTAGAGATGTGGGCTGCTCGGCTGGTCGGGCATGTCTGCGAGGTTCTTGCTCGGCCCACTCGCTGCTCGGGGTTGTGAGAAGTGTTAACTATTTAAGATCAAGATGAGGCTGATGATGTTGTTGATGATAGTTGAGAAATCACGAGCCCCCAGGCCCTTCTTATGTAGATCATCATGAAGCAGTTTCACTCGAAGACGTTATCACCGATATTTTGGCTCAAGACACAAAAGAAGCGTTATCATCACTGTGTCTTGGAATCAGAGATTGCCCTGCAATTAACTGGTTAACAGCCTCAGCTTTGCTTGGTGTAGGTAGCATAGGAGCCTACCGATGCCATAGCACCATCCATATTGCTCCCTTAGGGTAGAGCTTGAAATCGGAGTGTCATTGGTCTGTGAGAGACCTACCCGCCATTCCACATTTCTTTCCATATTTGCACTGTTATCTGTACTCCCCGCGTAGGTAGAGCCAGCCACCGGGTATAGTCTTTCCTTTCTTTCACATTCTTACCAACCTCAGTCCCTGCTTCGGCACCTTGCATTGCCAACAGGAAGCCCTCCATATCGCTGAACCACAGAATCATTAGTGTATGCCCACGCCTGAGGGTTGGCCTACGCTTTGGGAACGCGTGGTTTACTTCATCACAGAGCTGTATTACGATATCCGAATCTTCGTCCTAAGGAGGTTCTTTCCCGCATACTTGGCCAGGCGCCACCGTTGGGTTAGAGTTCGCGTGAGGTTGCGCAGGCTTGTGCGTAATTTGCTTCGATCCTTCTACACGAGAGGTGAACTCACGATTGCCTTGTATCGCATTCATCACGCATCTCATCCTAGGTACATAGACGACACCGCCTTTGTACCAATCTATCTTCAGGTCCCTCGTTATTTCCCATAGCTGTTGTTCGTGTCTCCACTTCGTGTGTCGAGGCACTCTTTCCTCCGCCTGCTGCGTCGAGGAGACAGCTTGGACCATTCTCTAGGTACAGGGCTGACTCGGCAACTGCCAACAGTCCCTCATATCCTCAACATCTTCCTTGACTTTCCGAACAGCCGGTGTCGGCACCTTGCCACCCGGAACACCCGAAATCCAATCACCTTGCCCAAAGGTCCGTTCACGACTTCAGGGTAGCAAGGCCTCGTGGTGATTGGAAGGATTAGCTGAGATTGAATCAAAGGTTCGATTTCTGGTTTCGGTTGATCTCGTAAGATTTGGGATTCTGGAACAATTGGAAAGCACTTCCACCTCTGCTGCCGTGTTGGCACATAGCCACCGGCCGCATCCTGGTTGGTTGTGGTTGGTTGTACTGTCGGTTGAGTGTGGTTTTCCGACGAAGTCACCTGCATCATCCGATAGGCCGTCAGTTAAGCCAACGATTCTGGCATAGGGACAGTTAAGCCAACGATTCCGGCAAAGGGGAACATCAAGCCACAGCAGCGGCATTGGGGGATACATCAACTTCAAGCCACAGTTCCGGCACTGGGGTAAATTTGCAAGCCACTCGAACGGCACGGGGGTTCCATTGGGACTTGGAGTTAATAGGCTTCCTCGTCTCACTCGTGTATGCTCTCATCGAGTCGCCGTGAAGAGCTTTTTGGACTTGCTGCGGCATTTGGAGCCGACGCCCGCGCTTCTAGAGGCGGCAGGGCCGCCAACAATAAGCGCCGATCACTTCATATAAAGCTGCTTCAGCTTTGGCAAGAGAGTTTGACAAACCTCGCCGAAGAAGTGTTCCACAGGCCTCCTGGGCAGGTGCCGGCATTGGCTTCCAAATTCTTTAGGGTGAGCGCGCGGCTTACACAGATCTCCGCGTCTGGGTACGTGATTTATAAGGGGACTCCTCTCCTTCCGAAGGAGGAGGAGGAGGTAGAGGAGGAAGAGTCTGACACAGACTCGGTGTTGCAGGAGCCCGTTACGCTACAGGATTTGGCCGAGGTTTCTTTGGATTCTTTGGACACTTCGGAGCGAGCAGAGCCAGCATCTTCATCCGCCGAGCCAGCTTCTTCCTCTTCCCACTTGGGCAGCTCACTTGAGCGCAGGTCGCGGTCGCCTTCTGTTCGTGACCAGCCTGTGACTTCAGTGTGTTAAGTGGTTCCGATAGGCTAAGCTCCGGAAGACCGCTTCCTCCTGAACCCCCTGCTGCTCCCCTTAGACCCGTACTAACACATCACATTTCGGAAACAGGTCCCACTGCAGCGCCTGAGATCCCCGAACGGAGGCCCAAGCAGAAGGCCAGGCCAAAGCAGCGTCCAGCCGAACCACTGGTTCCACCACCCAGGCAGCTGTCTCTGCTTCGGTGCGACGAGGATCCACTTTATCTTGCTGCGGCAATAGATCGCGCGGTTGG